TAGACACACTATTCAAATCTCAATTATCAGCTTCCACTTTTCCTTTTGACCGGAAAAAAAAGAGAAAAAAAGCTTTCTACTTTTCTATGTAACGTGCTGGTGGCAGCAGTTAAAATAATCCAAACATCAAACACAGTAATTTCTGTAACAAAGAGACAGGATAAGTCTTGGAGAATTTGCATTGCGTTTTCCTTATCTATCCGACGATGAATACTATTTTATTCTCTTTTGTGTTTTGCTCCGCAGTCTTTGTTTAAGTTTTTTCCATCGACCCAAAAGAAAAAAATAAAAGAAGAAACAAAAGAGATATCTTCGCATCATAACGTCTCATACTCAAAATTCTCAAACCCATAATTAGTTTCATCCATCTTCCACCGGTACTTGTGTATTGCCTTTGAATTTTCCTTCTTGTTCATTGCGACGCCTTTGGTAATTCATGAAGAAATCTGCTGCTGATATATATCATATACTTCAACTACAGGTACTTTGATTTATTCGGTTTGGTACTCTTTTTTTTTTTTTTTTTTTTTTTTTTTTCAATATTCTCTCTAATATTCTCCTTTGATCTTCTCTTTTTTCTTCATTACATGTGTCACTTTCCTTACACAAAAAATAATGTCATTAATGCATCCTACAAGCTAATTTTTGTTTTCCAAGTCTTATCCTTACTAAATGTATTGATTTTTTTTTTACAACTTTGTTACCACCTTGCCGTTTTTATCTTAAAAGGTTTTTTTTTCTTCAACGAGAACGGTTTTTTTTTTTCCACAACAAAAATGATGTCACTTCCATGATAACAAATTTATAGTCATTTGACGAAAAGATATGTTGTAGTTATTATTTTTCAGGTATTTAAATGTTAAGATAACCGCACACAAAAAAAAAAAGCATATAAGTAAAAGATAAATATCAATAATACCAATATCCGTTGAAAATAAAAAATAAAATTTTAAAATAGAAAGTGATAGAATACTTTATTAGCAACAACAGATTCATAGTAATTTTCACAATAGTTAATTGAAAAACATTTGTTTACAAAACTAGTTGTTATTATATAAAAAATAAACTAGTTTATTAAGAACGTCTGTTTTCTCTAGAAAAAAACTAACCTTTAGAGTAAAAAGGTGTTTGACCAAAAAAAAAAAAGTAAAAAGGTGTAAGAAAATGTGACTTTTTTTTCTCTCTAAACTAACCTTTTTTTTATTTGATTTTTTAACAAGGTGGTAAGAAAGTTTTAAAAAAAACTACCCTTATAAAAAAGGCAATATATTTAATAAGGGTAAATTTAATAACGGTAGTCCACGAAGTGGCGACCTTTGAGTTCCCAAAACATAATCTACCGAATGATAAACATGAAAAGACAAAGACCAAGTACCACCACCAGCTGAACTGCCGAACGGTAAAAAAAACATTTTGATTGCCGAAGAGGCATCAAGTCCCCATCCAAGAGACCGCAGATGAAGACTTGGGGGACTCCTGTTTATACCCAAAATGAACAGCCAAAAATAACAAGACACGTGGGCAAAATCTAGCTAGGCCACGGTTGCCTTCGGCACCCGTGCCTTTCGATCCATCGATTAGGGCAACCTCATCTTATAGGACACGTGGCATGCTCACAATCGACGTCCACAGTCCCACATCGAAATTCAAAACAAAGTGCATACCTCCCAAGGCCTATAAAGGAGACCAACTATCCCAAAATAGAGGTAATCAGAACTAACGAAACATTTTGGTTGCCGAAGAGGCATCAAGTCCCCATCCGAGAGACCTCAGATGAAGACTTGGGGGACTCTTGTTTATACCCAAAATGAACAGCCAATAATAACAAGACACGTGGGCAAAATCGAGCCAGGCCACGGTTGCCTTCGGCACCCGTGCCTTTCGATCCATCGATTAGAGCGATTCCAGCGAGGGGCCTAGCCCAAGGCTGGGGGGAGAAAAACAAAAAAACCATCTTCCAACGGTCAGCCCAAGCCCGGGCAGGCTGTGGGTCCCAGCAAGTCGGGCTAGCCCGAGGTCGAACCCGCGAGTTGGATGACGTCACGCTACAGTACTCGCGCTACAATGCCACTAAAGTCCACGTGTCGCTCTCTGGGCTCTCCGATCAGATTTTTTACTCCAATCCAACGGCAGCCAATTTTTATGCAATAAAAAAAATGAAAAAAAATCGAATTTTTTAATAAAAAATTACTGATTTTTTTTTTCTTCTATAAATGCCAAAATTTTATCCGATTGAGATATGAAATTTATAATAAATATTGACACATACGAACCCGGAAATCTTATTCGAAAATATTATCCAAATTAATTATTGAGGTAAAAAAAAATTGTGAAAAAAACCAAAAAATGAATAGTAATTGCCCTTAGACATGGCAACGGGTGGAAACACAAAATATACTATTTGCAAGGGCAACCACTATTCACGTGAATAGTGGCTGCCCTAGCCCCCCTTGCCATGGCAAGGGGCAAATGGGTGGAGTTGCTCTTAGGGCAACCTCATCTTACAGGACTCGTGGCATGCTCACAATCGACGTCCACAGTCCCATATCGAAATTTTAAACAAAGTGCACACCTCCCAAGGAAAAAAATTTAAATGTTCCAGGTACACCACGTGTCTGGTGTACCATCCAATAAACATAGAACATGTGGAATTATTATCAAACTTACTGCATTTCTTTTTATGACATATGGCAGGCTGCATTGGAAATATTCCATATGTCTTCCGTCTATTGGATGATACACCAGTCACGTGGTGTACCGGGAACACCCAAAAATTACTCCCTCCCAAGGCTTATAAAGGAGGCCAACTATTCCAAAATAGAGGTAATCAGAACTAACGGCATACAAGCCTCTTGATCTGTAAGTCTAAGTTTACTAAATCCGTACTTACTTAAGCATCGGAGAGCCTTCGGCCGGTACCACACCGGTGCCTTAAGCCTTACCGAGCGTTTTCTCGTATTACAGATTACACGTTCTACCGAGGCCCAAAATCATACCGAAGGCTCAATATCATTAAGTTAAGCCCAAGAGTGCCGAACCACTTTTTGGCATTAACAAATATTATAAATATAAAATGAAAGCAACTTGCAAGGGTAATTGTCCAGAAAGAAAAACCCAAAAGAAAAATACAATAAAGAAACGATCAGTGCTTAGCATAAACGCATCATAATCCCAACAAACAAAATAAAGCTTTAAATAATATATTGATGGACGGCAGCTCTATGATGAGTCTGTTTTGATACCATCTTCGCGTAAGTACAAAAAGGTAAACGTGTCAAAGAAACCGTGTGGGACACTGCGTTACACAAGCATTTGTTTTTTTGTTATAAAAAAAGTATTTGGTAGTAAGCATTTCTCCACTCGAAGACTTCAAAACTTGCTGCATTAATTATTGAACAAGAATTTCCAAAACTCTCTGGATCTCTTTGGTTCTAAAAGTGTGTTACTGTGTATTGCCTTTGAATTTTCCTTCTTCTTCATTGCGACACCTGTATTTGGTAATTCCTGAAGAAATCTGCTGCTGATACTTAAACTGCAGGTACTTCTGATTTATTCTGTTTGGTGCCTTTTTTTGTTTCTTTTAGTTTTATCTGCTCAGAATTCCTGTTTTCTTCATCCATTTGGTAAGATATCACAATAGAGATTTTCATGGAATTTTTATTCTTTTTCCCTGTCATCGACGGTGGCAATATAAACCCGAAGCCACACTGGCAAAGTTGTTTTATTTTATTTTTTTTGGTCAACTGCAAAGTTGTTTTATTTGGGTGTATGCTTTTAGTTACGTTGTTCTGAATTTTTTTTTATACAAGCGATATAAATCAGAGACTTGGACATCTCCTTACTTTTTCTTTGATTGCTTGTTTCTGTTCAGAACTCTTTCAGTGCTTCTTCTACCTGCTAATTCAAGAAACTATGGGAGAGGCTTTTCTTGTGGCTTTCCTTCAAGTGCTGGTCGACAAGTTGGCGCGTCGTGAGGTGTTCAAGTACTTTGGACTCATAAAGGGCGTCGACCAAAAGCTGCAGAAATGGACTGCCACCTTGTCTGCACTTGGAGCGGTTCTGGCTGAGGCGGAGGAGAGGCAACTAATCACCGAGAGCAAGCCGCTGAAGCTTTGGCTGGATGATCTCAGGGACTTAGCTTATGATTTGGAAGACGTATTGGACAAATATGCTACTAAAATGCTCAAACGGGAGATAGAGCAGGGACATTATGCCGGCACCGCAAGGAGGGTCTGGAACTCATTTCCTAATGGTGTTTTCAACTACAAAATGAACTCAGAAATACAGAAGATTACCGAGCGTTTACAAGAGATATCTCAGCGAAAGGACCAGCTTAGTTTGAATATCATTACTGGGACGACGTCGTCTACTAAGGCACGTCAAAATTTACCTCCCAGTTCCAGTCAACCAGATGGACCAGTGATTGGAAGGGAGGAAGACAAAAGGCGGGTCGTGGAATTTCTGTCGAAACAAGAGCGCCATGCCGTCAATTTCGATGTAGTTGCCATTGTTGGTATGGCTGGAGTCGGAAAGACAACACTTGCTGCACAAGTGTTCAATGAAATTGATGCAACCCAGCAATTTAAACCGACTGCTTGGGTATGCGTGTCTGATGACTTCAACCTAGAAAGAGTGACAAAGCAAATTCTCGAAGCAGTCACATCCAAACACTATCCTACAGAAGATTTCAATCAGGTTCAACAGTATCTGCATACGGAATTAGCTGGGAAGAAGTTTTTAATTGTTTTGGATGATGTTTGGGGCACATGTAGCTATGGTCTATGGATGAAACTGCAGTCCCCCTTTTGCGATGGAGCAGCAGGAAGCAAGATAATTGTGACAACGCGTGATGCAGAAGTTTCAAAAATGATGGGAGCTGGCACTCTAGTTCATAATTTGAAACCTATGTCAAATGACGTTTGTTTTGAAGTATTTGAGCAACATGCATTCAGGAATGCTAACAGAGATATACCACCAAATTTCGAGTCACTCAAGGAGAAAATTATTGCAAGATGCAGGGGATTGCCTTTGGCTGCTAGGACTCTTGGCGGCCTTTTACTTCGTATAGAGATGAATGAATGGGAGGAAATATTGAACAACAAATTATGGAGTCTATCAAATGAGCGTGACATACTTCCGGTATTACGATTAAGCTATCACTATCTTCCTTCACATTTGAAAAGATGCTTTGCCTATTGTTCGATACTTCCAAATGACTATGAATTTAGTGAGCAGCAATTGATTCTTCTGTGGATGGCAGAGGGTTTGATTCAACCACAACCAGAACATAATAAGCAAATGGAAGATTTAGGA